AAAAGGTTAAGGTATCATTTTAATATTATAAAAAAATATAATATATCAAGAACATGTTTTGCTATAATACGTAGCACCAAAATGATTTTATTTTATTATTTTACTTAATAGAAAGTAGGAAAAAAAGATTTCAAATAAGGTATTTTAAAAATAAAAGTAAACTACCAAAGAATAGGGGGGAAAAGAGAATAGGCAAAAGAAAAGTGAAAAAAATGAAAAAGAACAAGAACAAGAGGAAAAGTTAGAGAAAGGAGAATTAAAGGCCGTGTTTGGAATTGATCCCGTTTTTCTTTTTCATGTTTGTCAAGAAAGAAAAAATAGAAACGTTTCCAAAACAGCGTTTGGCGCAATAAAGACAAAAAACGGAAATGAAAATGATTTTTTGGTTTAGTGTAAAATGAGAGATAAATGAAAAATGACTTTAGTCGTTTTTCATTTTTTGTTTTTGTTTTCTCCTCTCTCGAGCAGAGAGAGAGACATTAATGAATTTTTTTATATTAAAAATAATCTCTTGATAAAACTACCAAAGGCATTTTTAAAAATGATTTCTGACTGAGATTGAAAACGTTTTCATTTTCATTTTCATACAAAAAATAAAATCATTTTTGAACGAGTTCTAAATGTACCCAAAATTATCTACAAATTTTTGACAAAAAAAAATTAAGTAAGAACATATTTAAACGAAATTATTTTAATTATAAAAGTGAGAAAAAGAAACAAAATGAATTGCTAAAAAATATTAGAGGAACAAAACAAAAAAAAAAGGACAATAGGCAAAATAAAAAAGAAAAAAATTGAAAAAAAAAACGTTAAAAGAGAATAAGAAAATGAGGAAAAGTTAAAAAAAAAAAAGAAGAAAAAAAAAGAAAAGGAAAAAAAAAAAGAAGGATGCCAACTAAAAAAAAAAAAAGAAGAAAAAAAAAGAAAAGGAAAAAAAAAAAGAAGGATGCCAATACGCGGAGCTAAGTATAAAGGTGGACCATGAACATTTACATTTACTTACATAAATATAACAAACATTAAAAAAAGAAATTAAAAGTGATTATTCAAATGCAGCTTGGATAAAAACGATCTATATGGGCTTTACCCATGTTAAGATAAGATAAGATGAGATGAAACAATAATAATTCAAAGGATTGCGTGAAAAAACTATTTAAAAGGGAATTATTTAGAGAAAAAAATACACATAAGAATAACTTTTGATGTAAGAGAAATTAAACAGAAAGCAATTAAACATGGATACATTAGAAGAAAATTATTTTAGCCATTAACAAAAATAAAAAAAGAAATAAAACATTATATAAGAACATAAAGGAAACAAATATTGTCATAAGAGTAAAACTAGGAAAAATATATTCTTAAAAGCACACAATAAAAAAATTAAACTGCAAAGAAACTTTCACAAAATTTAAAAAAATATTTAAAAAATATATGTGATTAAATTAGATTAGATTAGCAATTAAAAAGAATAAAAAAGAAATAAAACATTATATAAGAAAAGTAACGTTGCTAGGAATTTTGTTTAGGGGCTAATTAGTGACGAAGTAAAAAAAAATAAAATTAAGTGGGGTCACTTAAGAAAATATATATTTCAACCATGGGAACACATTTCAACAATGTCGGCACTTACAATTTTCATATTAAAATATTCATTTACAATAGCAATAAGTGCAATAACAAGTATAATTTTCAATATAATGATAAGCCAAATAAGAGAATTAATAAAATGTTATAGTCTAACTGATTATTTTACTAGGATGTTGTATTTTTTCTATCTAAAAACAATAATGATTCATAATTTATACACTCCATCCAATACTTACGGTTTCATTTTTAGAAGTGATATGTAGACTAGTGAAAAACAAAAAACGAGAAACAAGAAAACGAAAAAAAAGGATTTTCTCCCTTAAGAATAAAAAAATGAAACTATTGGTAGTTCTATTTTTTTAATTGTCAGATCTATATCAGAAACTGTCTGTTTTATATATTTTTTCAATCTCATTTGATGTTAATCAGATTAAACGGTCATAAAATTGATCCTATCGGTAAGATAGTTTACCGGAAGCAGTCCAAAAAAAAAAAAAGCAATAAAATTACTTTTCCTTAATAATCAAATCTATTATTGTGAGAGAAAAGATCTTGTTAAGAATTTAGAAACATATTTAGCTTTGACCTAAAATAATATTTTTCAATATCAAGATAATAAAATAAAAAATCTAATTTTTTAGGAGGGCTATGTATATATTTGATATAAGTACGTATATGCAGATGTTAATAACAAAAATGGACATATTGTATTTTTTTTTTTTTGCTAGTTATGGACATATTGTAACTTGCCACTGTATAAGAACACATATGAAAATCATGAAATATTATTTTTGTAAGAGTAAAGTTAAAGAAAAATATATTGTTAAAGAACACACGGTAAAAAAAATTACAAACTGCAAAGAAACTTTCACAAAACAAAAAAAAATTTAAAAATATATAAAAAGAAATTAAAAAGTAAGAAAAAAAACAAAAGAAAAAAAGCCTAATCTAACCATACATAAAATAGTCAAAACTCTTATGGTGGCAACCCCTCCACTCAATTTTTTTTTTATTTTTTTATCTTTATTTTTTGAATTTTTTAATATTTTTGTGTGTTTTTTTTTAAATTTTTATCTTTATTTTTTGAATTTTTTAATATTTTTGTGTGTTTTTTTTTTTTTAAATATATTTGTTTCTCACTATATTCATACAAGAGAAATTCTTTCACGTGTGTTATTATTTTATTTTTTATTGGTTAAAATAATTTTTTTTAAATATGTCTCTACTTAATTTTTTTTTTCTAATTGTTATCTTTGTACAAATTATTTTTTAAAATAAATTCAAAATTGTTTAAATAGTTGTATAAATTAATTTCTCATTATTTAATAAATAATAAATACTTGATGTGTGTAACACATACATAAAAAGAAAGAAGAAAAAAAAATGAGAAAAAAAACAGAGAAGTTGCCACGTGGCAGTTTAGTAAAAAGTAAAGAGGCTTCATAAATGTTAGTGGTAAGATTAGCTTAGATTAATAGATGTTTGATTAAATAGATCTAGATTATATTATCTACCTTTAATCTATAATTTATTTATATTCGTCATCAAATGGTAATGCTCTTTACTGTAGTGCTACTCGCGTCTCGCATTATTTTCAAACTTTTGTTCTTCGTCTTCTATCTTTGTCTTTTTGTGCACTTTAACCTTTTCGCCCTCTCTTTGACTCTCTCTCTCTCTTTCTCTCTCTCTCTGCAATCGAGTCTCTCTTTAGTTCAAATAGTTCTTTCTTCTCCATCTGTTTCTTCGCCAGCACCATTATCTTCTTAGTTGCTGCTTAATTTCAGCTGCGGAAGTCGCATTTCCCTTCTCCCTTTTTGCCTTCTTTCTCTTCCTCTGTCTTTTTTCTACTCCAGGTTTGCTTATCTCTCTTCTTTCCTGAATCTGATGTTGATTTATTTATTTATTGTTTTATTTTGGGTATTTCGTTTTGCTTTTGAATTCAGGTTGTTGAAAAAAAAAAAGAACATTTGGATTTATTCAAGCTCTAAATTAATCACCCAACCAAATAAATACCGGTTTACGATCTGTTCAATCATCATTTATTGTTCAAATTGGAAGGTTAAAAATGGGTTTTTCCCGTAATCTGATGGTCAGCTTTTTTTTTTTTTCCGTTTGAAGTCACATTTTTTTTTTTACTCCCTATACTAGATATTACTAATTTGGGCTTACATAACCTGATTCTCGGGAACTTTTCTGTTTTCTTCCATGTCCATGTTATGATTAGAATGATGGTGAGATATGATGTCCACTAGGATACTGTGAGATATGATGTTCACTAGGATACTGTGAGATATGATGTCAACTATATTTTTGAGAAGGTGGAGTTATGTTGTGAGAGTCGTTAGTTTTTTTATTTTGTTTTATTTATTATTTATTTATTTATTATTATTATTATTATTTTATAATTTTTTTTTCTCTGAATGAATTGTTAGAGTGGTTAGTTGGACATTAGGGGCATGATTTTGGATATTAAAAGAAGAATTATGATGGTGTTGTTTAAACTTGAAGGAAAAAAAAGGGAATGTAGGAAGTGAAGAAAGCTTTAGAGTTAGGTTGCTAAAGTTGAATTCTCCCATTTAAAGTTCCCAAATTGTTCTGTTTTTGTTGTTATATGAATGAGCTAAAACCTTTAAAATCTACCGCTTATTTCGATTATTTAGGCAACTTTTAAGTTACTAAAGGTTCTTTTGTGCTATGCACTTTTCTATATGAGCATAAACTTTTTAAACATACTACTATTTTGGATTTCTTAAGGCTTGTTTACGGTTAGGAAGTAATATGATTAAGAATGATATGCGGGGATCAATTATGATAAAAAAATTGCAATTTGGTGGGGGAATCTGGTTGGAGAGAAATAAAAGGATTAGGAGAGTTTAGTCCTCTAGGATAAAATAATAGCTAACATTACTTTTTGGTTCCACCTTGAGAAGGATTTCAGGAATCTCTGTCCTTTTTTCTTTTTTGACATAGTTAGAGATTGGTAATTCTTTTTTGTAACTTTGTAGTTTTTGGTCTTTAGTTCCCAAGGAAACTCCTTTCCTCTTATCCTTTTTGTACACTCTCTCTTACTTATTAACAAGAGTTTCTTGTTTCTTTCAAAAGAAAAAAAAAAAGGATAATAGATTGTGTAGGTGGCTAGCCTATGAAAACCTTGAGACCCTTATTTGCGTTTGCTCTAATATTTTAAATACTAATGCTACTTGATATTAATTTTTATTATATGCCAGGGTAAATTTCTAGCATTCTTGGAAGCCAGTTGTTCGTTGCTGAAGACTAAATGGGAAGCATTTGAAAATAAAAAAAAAAAGGATAATAGATTGTGTAGGTGGCTAGCCTATGAAAACCTTGAGACCCTTATTTGCGTTTGCTCTAATATTTTAAATACTAATGCTACTTGATATTAATTTTTATTATATGCCAGGGTAAATTTCTAGCATTCTTGGAAGCCAGTTGTTCGTTGCTGAAGACTAAATGGGAAGCATTTGAAAATTTGGATGATGACTTGGTTACAAAGGTAGAGTGAAACATTATTGGTTTTTTGAAATAATATCTTCTATTCTTTTCGGAAAGTGGAATGTTAAGATCTTTTTTGGAGTTAGCATCTTTTCCCCAATAGGAGAAAAATGTTCTAATAAAATGCTTAAGCTAGCAAAACTTCACCAAACATTGATGACAACAAGCTTTATTGTGTGACATTTGACTCTTGACCTCTCATCTCTTCCCCTTCTATTTATTGCAACTCAAGGTAGAATGATAAATCAAAATAGAAGAAAATTTGCTGATCAACTACCAGACTTCAATTTCAAAGCGTTGAATGCAAATATTCCAATTTGTATGTTTTGAATAAGAGGCGTCCAAATTTTTGGTGCTTGTAAATGTTTGATTGGTTGCTGATACTATTTCCCATTATCTGCTTTCTTCTTTATTTGGTTTTGTAAGGCTTCCAAGGTAAATACTCGGTGGATTATCAAGTTATTACAGTTGCTGATCTTTTGAAGATGTGGTATATATGTTTGTAACGATTTGCAAGATGATAACAGGTCTAAAAGTTACAATGAATAAAGTATGATTTTATCGGTAGAGTCTATCTCTTAAGAGATAATTGAGAGATTAAGATTGACCAGCAATTGAGCATGTTGTGGATGACTTGGATAGGGGAAATGATATAGTTTCTTTTCTTTTCATTTTGGAATATAAAGAACACAAGGGGTTGGCATAAAAAAATTATGTGTAGGTTGAACCTATATGCTTTGTTATTTCATTACTATATGTTTTTGTTTGTTCTTAAAAAAATTATTGTTCATGGCAAAATACTTCTTCCTAACATCACAATAGAATGCTCAAAATATAAATTCTTGTTCCTCTTAGACTCATGATTTATTCTTAATAAAAGGATTAAAAAGCTATTTTAAAAAATGAATTCAAGAAGACCAAAATGATTTTTAAATAAAAAGTTTAAAGTAGTGAAAAAACTCAAAACACTATATCCAATTTTGGCACGAGTCTCACACGTGCGAAGCACGTGGCTTCAACTAGTATTATAACAACAAATTAGTTACAAAAGCGAGCAAACTATTGTTGCTTTTTTTTTTTTTTTTGACAGCCCATTGTTGATTGTTTGTTCGATAAAATTAACATTTCAGGTCACTGGTAGATTAGTTGAGAGTTGACTGTTGAGGGATGTCGGCCATTGATCCTAAGACTAAGAAGAAGACCATCATCGATACCGACCCTGGAAGTGGTATGTCTTTTTGTATTCCATCATCATTGTTGCTTTCATTTGAATTGATGAATTAATCTCTCTCTCTCTCTCTCTTAACAGTGCTCTGTGCCAGATCTTCTTCCCTTAGTGATCTGGTAATGAAACCTAAACTGTCTTCCTCAAAGCCAAAGCCAAAGCCCAGGAATGGCAATGAAGAGCGTCAATATCTCAAAGCAGAAGCAGGAGGTCTCTGTGCCGGTACATTTGTCTCCCATAAGTATACCCATTCTTCTTCTTCCCGTTGTTCAAAAACTTCTCTTCGTCCCAAAAAGAACAAACCTTTACCATCCAATTCCAAGGACAAGGACAAGGAGAACCTTAATTATATTAATCTAAAACTAGCCAAAACCTTAAAAAAATCTCAGAAACCCATTCCAAGGAAGAATCCCAAGAAACCACTAAGTCCATGTCATTCTAATTCGATTATTACTACGCCTTTGCATAACCAAAGCCAAAGCCAAAGCCAGAGCCAAGGAGATGAGTGTAAAAATACTCCTCCAGTTCAGCCGTCGGTGTCTCCAGAACTAATAATAGAATCTAAAACCAAAACTCCCGCTTCTACTTGTTACGGAGCAGGCAACGTCCATGTCCTTTCTGGCGTCTCTGACAAAAGGAAGTGCCGTCCTACAGGCCTTCTTCTTGCTGCTCCAACTGCAAACAATCTCAATAATTGTAAGCTTTCTTCGTCTTCTTCTTCTTCTTCTTCTTCTTCTTCCTCTTCTTATTGTTTATTCCCACCTTTACCTGCTCAAGCTTCAATGCATTGGCTTTCATCACCTTCTACTGAGACTCTCTCTGTCCTTTCATCAACTTCTATTGAGACTACTACTACCACCTCTGAACATATCTCTATCAACTCCCCTGCTGCTCAGACTCACTTTCATGAATCCTTGGAGTTGGAGGACCTTTTACCTTCTTTTAGTTTCAAAGCTTGTCATCTTAACTCCCCATTCTCCACAGATTCTGATCCTCATTCATTAGGTAGCGGAAATGTAATTTGTACCCCTGAATCTGACAACACTTGTGCTACATATGCTAAGAAAAACAAGGTCGATTCTCAGCTCATCACTTCACTCGCTGATGCTCTTCGGATCTCAACCTTAATGTCTCCCAACACCATTGAACCACCAATCAAAGATGAGAACAACGAAACCAACAGCATTGCTTTCAGTAGTTTCCAATTTGATTCCATTACTGCATCTTGCTCGACACTGGGGAATGAGAGGTTATCATGGAGAGAAGAACAAGGATTGATTTCTGAGATGGATGAATTTGATTGTTGCGTATGTTTATCCGATGATGACCACAATGGCAACTACTCCGATGACCTTTTCCAATTTTGTGAAGGTTCTAATAATGTTCATGATGCAGCTAAATCTGACTCTTGCTCTCCTAAAAAAATTTTGGGTAAGGAAACAAGGGTTGAAGAGAAAACTGGTCAAGAATTAGAAAACTACCCTTCTGGAGGACCCCCTCAATTATCATCTTCTTGTGCTGAGTCCATAAGCATCGACGGAGGCAGACTGCTCACTTCTGCGGATTCAGATTGGGATTTGTGCTTCAAGAAGGATTTGTTCCGAGTATGATTTTTATTACCTTACTCACTCGTGCATGCTTACTCCTATTGGAATAACAAACTCAGTCCCGATCATTTAGAACTTAGAATTTTTTATTATTTTATTATTTTTTTATGTTTTTTCTGATCGTTACTTTGTAAACTAGAAGAACTTGAGCCGTTTATTTCATTTGTACCATATAAATTGTCTCCAATCTAGACTGTCAGGGCCGTTTATTTCATATATGCAAAGTCAAACCATTAATTCTGCGGCAGTGTTTTCTTATTACAAAAATTTGAATTTCAAACGTCAAAATTAATCACGGTTTTAGTTGGCCTTCCAAACAGAGCCCTTACTTTCATTGGGTTATGTGGAATGCATTCTTAGATTTGCCAACATACACTCAATAAACCAACTTGTTGGTGAGCTATCATTAATATTAATGTTAATATTAATATTAATATTAATATTAATATTAGTATTATTATTTCCTTTTATGTATAAAAGGGTGAAGTAGAATGCTTACAGATCCTTACTAGAAAGAACATAGCTAACTAGGAAAATAGTGGATACTTTGGATTTGTAAACTAATGATGCTTACAGATCAGAACATCAGTCTCATGAATTTTCATAGAGATTAATATATTTATAGCCAACTTGACATATGATAAGTAGATGGGGGATTTTGAGCAACAGGGTAAACATTTGGGGTACCAGGGAAAAAAAAAAAAAAAAAAAAAAAACATGGGAGAAATTTGATAATTTTTAAACTCAAGCCTCATAATATGGATTATTTTTCAAGTCGGTTTATAGTATTGATGATTCTCGAGTCAGTTTTTAGTATAGGGAGATGTAAGTTTGGCCTTTATACAAAAATTAATGATTTATATCCCAAAAAACACGAGCAGAGAAAACTGATTTAGCTTGTAAAACTTTGAGATTAACTTTGGTGACAGTGGAATTAAAGTAGTTGTGAATCAGTGGATTGGACAGGGGACTGATTAGGAGACTAATATCCTAGTTTTTATAGGCAACATCCATTCTTCTTGGATTTCCAATATCTGTGATTTTGTCAAAGAAGGAACCATATGATTGAGCTTATCTATTCCATTGTTCGTTGCCATGTCATTCTGATTAGGGGTGTTCAGCGAAATCCAATCCAATCTAAAGTTTTGGATTGGATAGAAAATAGTTTTTGATCTGATATGGATTGAGATTTTCCTAATCCGAAGGTTTTGTATCGGATTGCGGATTGAGCACTTTCCAATTTACGAAATCCGTGAATCCGAATCCATATATATACATATATATTTTTTAAAATTATATGTATATATATATATTTATAAGTTAGTTATTTTTTAAATTTTTTTATTCTATTATATTTTGTTACTTTTGCAGAAAACTCAAATATTACTTCAGAAGTTGTAGATGTTAAATTACTTTAAAGTAATGATGAATATTTCATTTTGAGTTTCATTGAATTTATTTTGTTATTGTTAATTGGGCTGTAACAATCTAGGTTTTTTTTTTTTTTTTTTTGTTGCTTGAAGTAACAATTTAAATGCTTATTAATATTTCATGTTGTGTTTATTTTGTATGAATGTTTATTAATTTATATTTATAAATGTTGAAATCCGTGAATCTAATCCGTAAATTTCAATAGGTTTTAGATTGAATTAGATCCAATCTGAAAAGATTTTGGATCGGACACGAATTAGAATTTTTCCAATTTGTAATTCTAAATCGGATTACGAATTGACCTTTAATCTACGGATTGAGATCTGTGAACACCCATAATTCTAATTACAATATTTAGGTTTATACTACTAAGGAACGTCTTTTGAGAGTGCAACTTTAAATTTTATATATTCGTGTGAGTTATTTGTGCTTGCCATATTCAACATGATTTACTTGTTTACCTTCTTAAGTCTTAACTAGTGTTTACGAACTGTGTAATGTGTATGAAAAGCATCGTAAAATACAAATAGTTCACTTATATTGGTGCAGATTCCATTGTTCGTTTTTCATCCTTCAACCGGTGCCGTTGACACGACTCCTCTCTTATGGCTAAGCCTTTCCCCTAGCCACATGTGGCTTAGCCGGCCGTGCCATATGTTGATGGTTTGGGGTTCTTTGCAATCCCACAACATACCAAAGTGGGACAATCAGCCAAAACGCTGGCTGAGCCGATTGTGTTGTTATTATCTTGTTCATTTTATTGATTTGAGTTTTTAATTTTAATTATGTTACAGTTAAAAGTTCTTATAAAAAGTTACATTTAACTTTTTCTGTTATAATAAAAAATTCTCACATAAAATCACTTCTCAATTCAAATTAAAAATTCAAATCAAGGAACTAAATTATGCCTCAATCTCTCGTAAACAAATCCCAAAACAAGACGGCCATCTTAGGTACAGACAATGGACAAATGGTCAACCATCCCAAACTAATGAATATGAATCCAAATTAACATCAAAGGACGTAAACAAAACAGAAATATACAATTATATATACATGTTAAAAGCCGTCAGAGAGTAGAAGACTAGATGATGAGAGAGATATGTGGTTGGATTATTAGGTGATGAGCTAAAACTAACAAAGCCAATTAGAATAAATTAGAAACCAGAAGCTCTTGGCCATTGGAATTAATACTTGTTTTGGCTTGGCAAAAGGCGCTTGGAGCAAGTCAACAATGTCAGATATGCTTGTTATTATATAATAGATACGTGTCCATATCTTTTGTGCATATAAGAATAAGATACTGATTACAAAGAACTTGTTTAATAAAATACTATTACAAGTTGGAAACTTGCTTCCGCTGTTGTCCTAAATATAGCTTGTCTTGGCTAGCAGATTTGAACCTCTTTCTGTTCGTTAATTTAAATTTTTAATTTGAGTTAAAATTTAATTTTATGTGAATTTTTTATTGTAGCAGAAAAAATTTAATTTTTTATGTGAGTTTTTAATTATAATAAAATTAAAATTTAAAATTTAAATCGATAAAATAAACGAGAAATTTGTGTATCTAGTAAGTGCATTTGAGATATTAATGAATTTTGAAAGGCATCATTATATCAATCGGTAATTCCAATACAATAGGGGTCTATCAGTGCAAGTCAGTTGAATACCGCGATTGATGAGTGGGTAGGTGGGTTAGGTGCACCTCTCGCCCTGTGGGAAGTAATGAGGCTAGTCTCCCCCCCTGAATGAAGAAGTAGTGGGGCCACTTCCCTCATATGTGCCTTTATTTAGATTCTTTCTTTCTTTTTTAGAATTTTTTATCCAATCTTTCTAAAATAAAAAAATATCTCTGCCGTCGAAGGGATAAAAAAGAAAGAAGAGAAAAAAAAGGGAAGTTTTGTTTTTTTTTCAATCCAAATAATAGAAAACCACTCAAAAATGAAAGTTAGATAAAGAAGTTTCAGTAAAAACTAGCACCAGACTTCTTCCAAGTCAACTACCAAAATGACGTGTTGAACTTTTTTTTTTTGGAACAAAAATGACGTGTTGAACTTGCACACACAAATCTATAACTTTCTGTAGTTTCTTACCAGAAAATAATAATAATATATATATATAGAAAGTTAGATAAAGAAGTTTCAGTAAAAACTAGCACCAGACTTCTTCCAAGTCAACTACCAAAATGACGTGTTGAACTTTTTTTTTTGGAACAAAAATGACGTGTTGAACTTGCACACACAAATCTATAACTTTCTGTAGTTTCTTACCAGAAAATAATAATATATATATATAAACATATACTTGGTTGAATTTATAATGCCCATGATAGTACATGCTACCGAACCCAGCCTTCGAAGTGGCCAATCATGGGAGAGCCTCCATTTTTGAGGTTTGATTCAAAAGCATAATACCAACAACCCCAATACAAAACAAGGAAAAGAGAAAGAAGAGAAGGAAATACAAAAGAATGGAGGGTCTGCTTCCAATGGTTTTCAAGGCGATCAAAAGGAACAGAAGTCGGCGAAAATACAGATGCCTTTCATCCGGTGCGGCTGAGAGTTACATGAGCATCTCAGAAGACTACTACGTTGAGCCCGGGCCGCACACGATGAGTATGATGATGAGGACCACGTCTGCTTGTTCCATGCCTCAAATTCAAAAGATGAAGGCTCACCGCCGCCACAAATCGGTGGGGGACTATGCATTTGGAATGTCAACGCCGGAGACTATTCACAACACAATAAGAGATGATGGTTATGATGATGTTGGTGTTCGTGTTGGTAATAAGAAAGCTCAACTGGTGCGGTTTAGTAGTCGCCGGTTCAGGATGTTCTCCTGTGTTGGAGGTTCCAATTAATCATACTTCTATATTTATCTTCCTCTTGTCATGCAATACATTCATCTCTGCCTTTTTTTTTTTTTTTTTTTGTCAAGAAAACTCTGTCAATATTTAGTTATCTCATCAATCCCTATGGTCCAGTTGATCCTTCGTTTTTTCTAAGGGGAAAATCGGAAGGAAGAATGAATAAAAAAAAAAAGAAAAAAAAGAAAACCTTGCTGTGCTGTAGCCAAGAAATGTAAGGCATGCCGATGACTTTTTGTTGAAGTTTAATTGGTTATGACAAGTGAAAAGCAAATTCGGTGAAGTTTGCCTTTTCTTTTGTGATCGTCTCTACAGTTTTAGCCCCATGTGGCATCTGTGACTTCTCATAATAATCAACTCAATCCTTAAGCTTTACCTTTTTTTCTTTTTCTTTTTTTTTTGTCTTTTGTTTTTGTTTTTCTTGAAAATGAGAAAAATAAAACAACTCTTATTTTGACAGCCAAGAATTGACTGTTCTGAATCATACAAATTCAGTCTTTGATCATATTGATATGCATATGAATATGAAATATAGCAGCTGAGCCCACTTACACCAGCTTAAGTACTAACTAGTAGCGTTAAAAGTATTTGCATTAATAATTTGTTTCATCTGCTGATTGTATTTGCTTTGTCAGTCAATGTTTGAGGCTCAAGTAGGAACACTTGATTCTTGCACTGGAAACAAACTTGTATATCAAGTCGTTGGAATAAATGGGTGTAAATATAATGTCCAAATTTCAAGATCTCGTTAGTTTACCAATCCATCCTAAAAGCTTAAGTTGTTAGGAGGTGAGCCAACAATAATTTTATACTTTAACACTCCCCCTCACGTGTAGGCTGAATAATAGACAATCATATAGGTAAATTAATTAGAAAGCCCAACATGTGAATATTTAAGCTCGAGATATATTAAAGACCCAACACATGATGTCAATTTTAAATGGAGATAAAGAGTGCAATTACGGGAGTTTGAACTCAAGATCTCCCGCTCTGATACCATGTTAGTTTATCAATTCATCCCAAAAACTTAAGCTGTTAGGAGGTGAGCAACAATAATTTTATACTTTTAACACTTATCAACAGACTTTTGAGTATGAGCGTCGACCTTCAGTGATTAACTGTCATATCACACAATAAAGGCAGATGAAACACTGTGTTATGTATCACACAAACAAACTCCCCAGCTATCACACATCATAAATCTTAAAAAAAAAAAAAAAATCCCTAAAGTAAATGAGTTAGAAAACAAACAGAAACTGATGGGAAAAAGAAGAGACAACTTAACTTGGGAAAATAAAAAAGGCTAAGAAAGCTGGGATATTGCATATTATCATATATCATGAAAGTGTTCGTTGATGCTCATCTAACTATTATGTGGTAAGTTATATGTAAAAAACAATAATAGTTAAATGACCATCAACAAACATATCCATGGATGCAAGTGAAGCTGCTGACTGGTACACAGATAGCCTTGGCTAGCTGAGCCTCCAGGCCAAAAGCACGCAGATATATATAAACCAACAAATGTGGAGATGGATCTGTCCAAATTCCAAGGAATAAGTCCCACTACGACGAGTATATGCTCGGGATATTCTTCATCCGCTAAAGCATATACTTTCAGAACAAACCTTTTTCTTAGTTAGAGATTAGAGATTAGAGATGAAGGTGATTGGGAAATAGGAACTGAAGGGGTTTGGTTTTGACTGTGTTGTTGACTCGTCATACCAAAAACAAAAATACCAGCAAATAGTGACTATGACGTTTCAAGAGACTGCTTGGTAAGAGCATTGCTATCAGACAATCGTGGAACTACATGATCTCATATGCATATACGACACACCATTCCAGTGGTGCAAAAATAGACTTTATGATCATACTCATGCTCTATATAAGACCAAAACTGATTTGTCGATGTTGACCATTACGTATGCACAATTGCACATTTTATATTGTATACTATAATTGCCAGCTTCGCAGTAATGTAACAACAACTTGAACTCCCTTTTTACCGTTTAAAAACGAAAGGGAGTTGATAACATCAATAAGACGACAACAATAAAAGCTAGAAAATGTGTTCTGTATAGAACCTCAAATATATAACTACATCTAATAAGAGAGAGCATTAAGACAGCAAGCAAGCAACAAATTCAAGAACCGAGCATGGACGGACTCATTGCGGTGGGTGTGTGCCTGATTTTCCTGGTGGTGAAAAATAGTAGTGCCTACGGTGATGGTGGTGAAACGACGAATGCTGCAGATTTAAAAAGCGAGAAATCTTTGCAGACAATGCTCCACATGCGAATCAAGGAAATGTTCCCCCACATGACAGCATTTGATGATTCTCTTATTGTTGTTGCTCTGCAATATGATTACGTGCCTTTGAGCGACTGATGCGTGTACTTAGTACCTAATATCAAGGCGGTGAGTCCGCGGAATACAATACCTATTTTGGATGAAATTCTTCTTTCAGTTCAGCTTTGGGCTACCACAGGCAAATTCTATTCTGTACATGCTCATGCCATGAAAATAAATGAAATAGAAAAAGGAACCACACAGTACTAGAAAGCATTTGTGCCTTTCACTCACATATATGATACAGGTTTAGCAACTACATGAACAAGTGCTCAAAAGGGCAAAGCTATGTGACAGTGGACAAGCACGGCAAAGTGAGACTACGTTCATTGAGCTCACTGCATAGCTTAGCGGACGCCGACTAGAAATCAATTAATCCACTCAAGAAACTAAACCGTGGATTCCGGGATCTGAGTGTCACACAGTACCGGAAAATGCCTCAGTTTTTCAGAGGCAAGAGCACAAAATGAAAAAATATAGGCGTTGATGGCTCAAACCTGGCCCAACTCTTCACCTTTCAGTTTCATTACCACAAAGAGTTTTGTTATTGCTAACAAAAGTTCTCAAAATTGTAAATAGTCGAACAATTACACTTGATGAATGTTTTGATTTTTTTTTTTTTCAGCTCTTTGAATTGTAATTTTCTTTTAGCGGTCCTCTGAAGTTATGAATTATTTACTGAATTTCTGGTGCACTTTTTTCTTTTCTAATTCTCCATTTTTCTATTAATAATATGCCTCGGCGAGGATTATTTTCATTCGAAAAGCAAAAAAGAGGTGGCAAATACAAAATATTAAAGCAAACAATAAAGTACACCGAAATATCATCAACACAACCATAGTGAAAATAAGGGGGAGATCATGCAGTCCATAAAGTACGCAGTACTACAAGGTCCCTCATGCATATATATATATATATATATATATTACTTCAAGGAATGGTGGCAGCTGAGTGTGGTTCCGTGGAAGCAGGCAAGTGATCTTTGCCAAGTGTTGGCAATTTTTGGTTAGGAAAATTCGGGAAGAAAGGTAACGGCGGGAACTCGAACTTGGGCAGTCCTCCCGCTGGCAGCTCAGGCAATGGAAAACTGGAAAAATCCGGAAGCTCCGGTAATTCGGGTTGATCAGGAAGCTCCGGTAATTCGGGTTGATCAGGAAGCTCCGGTAATTCGGGTTGATCAGGAAGCTCTGGCAAAGTTGTCTGCAAAAGATGGCGTGCCTCTGCTGGGAAAGTGGTGTTGTAGCTCAACAGAATTAACAAGTTTGTTATGAGTAACAGTGGCATAACAAAGGATTTTGGATGGTTAAAGGCCATTTTTGGAGAAGATATAAAATTCAAAGGCTGATGATAAAATAAGAAGAATTTGTTGTACTAATTGCTTGAGCAGGACTGGGGCTGTGGCCCTTATTATAGGCAAGGCATATATGATATATTTTAGTTGTTGAGAATTAATTTTAAGGTTTGGTGGGTGAGAAAAGACCAGCATGAATGTTTTCTGAAAAATTTCTCACCTAGCTTGTGACAATCATCAGCTTTTCTCATGTCTTTTCTACATTCTCTTGAAGAAAACTTTGTTTTAGCTTGTAGTTTTGCAAAATCAGTGCAAAGAATTGCTAATTATAAGCTATTTGGCGCATGGAAGTTCATAACTAGTTGAACTACCTAAAATTCCTATGATTTGTAACAAAATAAAACCATATACTCGTAGTAAGGTAACACTTTTCTTTATCAGAAAAATGCAGAAATACAATTTCAGGTGCTATATACATGCCAAGTAGCTATAGATGTCATGTTGTTACAATAATAAAATGGAATTCAAACCAAGAGTTAAATCCCTAACGCTCACAAGAGTAAGAGTAAGAAATGATCTTCATTGCTCTCAACAAATAATCACGTGTCAGAATTATTTTATAAAAAAAAAAGACATTTTCAATTAGACTTCAATTACAAAGATTTTTAACTTGAAGGAGTCTAAATGTCAAGGAAAAAAAAAAAAGGTACCAATTGTCGAATTCAAAAAGTTGAAGGATGTCTATAAAGAAAAAACATATTTGCTATTTAAGTATGAATAATTTTACTAATTTGGGTCAAGTAAAAGATTATCACTCTGGGAAACTAATTGCAGCTTAAACTTTCATTTGAAACATTATGATAACAATAAGAAATCTTACTAAAGATTTCATTGCAGATGCCAAAGTCATATTTAATATTTGATATTTTATTCTATTTTATGTTACAACGCACAATGTTTTTCAAATGCTATTTCTTGGTATTGTCATGAATTTTAAGTTTTGAAACTTGTACAAAAATAATTTGAAAATGATAATGTCATATTAAGCGAAAAACTCAACACATCACCCAAAAAATCACTAAATTCCAAAATTTAACATATGTTATACTTCCGGCTGGATTTGACAGCAAATTTGACATCAAATACAACATAAATCAAAGCTGACACTAAATAAACAAGTACAACGAAGAATAGTTTCTTACCCAGAATGCAAAAGTTTGACAATAAATTAAAATTTTAACATTACATTAAAGATACTTAAGTTCTGATCCAATGAGTATGTTTCAAGAGATTTAATGCAGTAAGGTAACGTAATACTTTCCAGTCTTATTTTGCCTAGACGACTTGGTAGTTTTTGTTACAAATACTTATAATCTTAAAACAAAGCGTAATCATAACCAAATAAAAATTTCAGCACCAAAACAATCTATCTTTAACTGAAATTTTTTCATCTTCCTTCTTTAAGCTGCATTCCTCGTAGTCAAGTGTCCATTTCTCAAAAGTACAATCAACAAAGTCATAGTAGCCACCATGAAGGGAAAGAACTCCTTCCCTAACTTTTTCTTCTATCCACGGGTATGTAAGCAGGTTTAGCAGAGAACGATTAATCGATTCCTGCGTAAAAGTTTAACATTCAGTACCAACAAAATTCATAAATCTGATATGGGAAATCACGTAGTCTATTTTATTGCATCAAGGGCAAGAACGGCAAAATAAGTTTTTCTTGTTTCATTTTAAAGAAAGATACTTTGAAACATATGTAAATTCTCCCCACAAAGAAAAGTGCAAATCTTAATGTAATAGTAAACCAGAGTTCAGTTTTTGCAGAATAAGAACATAATATCAGTACTAGTAACAACAATGAGAAAGAAAATGCAACCAACGATCTATTTGACTTCTAAACCATTGTTAGAAAGGCCAATAACATGGTAATGGTATACGGCAAAACAGCAGAAGAATTCAACTGTATCGATTTCTGCTGCTTTACTTTTATCACACAACGTCGACACTTTCTTTAGCTTAGAGGGTTTGATTGGTTATACGCCTAACGAACTGTGAGAGATTATAAAATAAATAAATAAACAAACCTATGCAAGCAAAAAAATCAGACTCACAATAAGGGGGAAAAAAAGCTTAAAAATTCAGAGTTGACTAATTGCAAATGATAAAGGAAAGACTTGACTAAACAAAGAAGAGATCCGAACAGCTACGAGTGTGAAATTTTAGTTTAGAAAAAGGTGAAGAAATATCGAGAAAATTAGCCTACGGAAGAGGGCCATCAGGGGACCTAGTGAGAGAAAAATATATAATGGAATAAAAGTAAGTAGCTAACAGTCTAACAGATAAGAGAAACACCAACAAGAAAAGATTTCCACGTTAGCCAGTTTAGCCCTCGAAATAATTCTCGAGATTACTATGGTGGTCCCAACTCCTACATATCAATACAACAACAACAACAAGCCTTAATCCCATCTTAATTGGGGTCGGCTATATGGATTTCACTTTTCCACGCAGCTCTGTTCGAAATTAGACTTTCCTGAAGGCCTAAATCTAGAATGTCATTCCTAACTACTTCAGTCCACGTAATTCTTAGTCTACCCCTCCCTCTCCTAGTGTTAGGTATAAGAATGACATAAAAGTGTTAAAACTAGCTACTTCAACTAAGGAATAGTAACTGAAATTTCTGTTCGAGTAGGCGCATAAGGAAAGGGTTAAAAATATACTAGTTGCCTCTCTAGTAACAATTTTCAATGGACCTTCTAACCTAAAAACTTTCTAGGATACAGGCGTGGATTTACAAACTGCCCTTGGATAATAAGAACAAATAGTGATGAAAAGTTCCATGGTTTCCTTATCTGCCTCAAAGGGTCAATTTGTTTAATTTACACTATACATTGTCTAAATTAAATGTAAGTTCTACACTGAGACTGCTACAAGTAAATGTCTAAAGGCAGATTTAGTGTAAGGCGAAAAGTCGGATACCTTCTCACAGTGTCTACACTGCTGGTCGAAGCTGAGGTTAGAGGCAACAGCCTTTGTTTTCAACCTTGCATTCTTCCCAAGAACAACCCAGTTCTGGATAAAGCCGCTGATTAAGAGTTCACAAGAATCAGAAACGCAGCTTAATCCTTTTTTTCCCATTACATAGAGAGAAATTGTGATAACCACAAGTAGCAACTTGAAAACAGAAAAATGAAGCTAACTAAACCTTGATTGCCCTTCATCTTCCATGCTCATGAGGGCATGAATGCCTCCGCAGCAGCTGTGGCCAATAACTAGTATGTTCTCAACCTATGAAAGTATATATACATTTGTTACCTCCAATGAAAGAAATAGATAATATGACAGAATATCTCTTATGAAATTTTCCTTTTCTTTTCTCACTATAATTTCAGCTTCCATAGGTGCAACATACTAACTCCATCTCATAAGTTTAATACTCATTTAATAATAAACTCTTCACAGTTCAATCTTTATGACATTCTAATACTTCACTTCCCTCAGAATCAAAATCAACTTCCAACTGAATATTTCTATTTAATCTATTCTCAAATGGTTCAAGATGTCATGAATCCAAAATTGTCATCGTCACAATTCTAATACCCCAATTTTCAGGCAAAAATTGCAGAAGAAGTACCTTAAATAAAAGAACCTATGGGCACCAGATAATTTCTCTATCAGTGTCGCTATGAATTCCACCACTAGGTTTAAGGAAAACAAGCCTAAAAAGAAATAAGACCTATCTATATTAGATTTTTAAGAATGAATTACTTACTTTTAGAGTATTCACAGAAAATTCTAACCCAGCATTTGTTTCTGAGGGCCCCTTCTGCGGAGAAGAAAAAAGTAAAACAGACAAGGATTAGGGGGGACAGCATTGAGAAGAAACTGAGGCAGGTCACTCCAATGGAAGAACTCACTTTGTGGTACTAATGCAGCATATGTACAAAAATCTACATGAACTGCACACTCTTCAAAGTATTATTATATACCTCAAAGGGGGGCACTAGATTTGCTATATTGCGCACGGTAAATGCTTCTCCCGGTTGGAATCCCAAAATTGCAGAGGGGCAAACTCTAGAATCTGCACAGGCAATCACCATGAACTGTTCTACAAATAATCAGTTAACATGACTACCATTCCAGACAGTTTGAAGTAAGAATCACGGAAACAATAATTTAAGACTATACTAGGAAGTAATTAAGCAATAAAACTAGTTATAACCTTTGGTGCTTGACCCTTTGCAAGTTCTTCATAGTGTTCTAAGTTTTTCCTGTCGAAGCAATAAAGAAAAGGATAGAAAACAATCAGTATTCAGTACTATATACTTAGTTAAGCCTCCGTTTGTTTCACAGGTTTAACTCATTTCAACTCAATTCGAACAATGAGCATAGTTAGAACTCGTGTTTGATAAGCACACCGTCCGAATTATATTCTCTGTTTGAACTGAGTTAAAATATCCAACTTAGAGTATAGCTTCCCCTTAAATTCAACCATTCAAACCATTTTTGAAGAAAAAAGTGTCCACTGTCCACTCTCAACTTTTTCACACCTACTAAACACAAATTCGAATTTATTCCTTGTTCATATTAAAATTTTAAGTGCACATCCAATGGCTAATTCGAACTACAATTTAAAACACACATTTCGAATTTTTCTGTTCAAATAAAGAAGTTCAAGTCAACAAAATTCGAACTAGCGAACCAAATTGGGACTAAATAACCACTATAAAATAGCCTTTGTTGCTTACATGTAGGTATGCTTTTTAAAACTTAGGAAACGATGCTTTATGTTCTGAAATAAATCAGACCGACTCCCAGTTTCTTCTACTGTCTCCAGTTTGTTGTTTCCAAGATCTTGAGTCAGCCCCGGAGGTTCCCTTGAAGCCTTCATTCTCAAACCTGTAGTGGTCCTGCAAATTTCAGAGTAAAGATAATTCACCAAAGACATCTTCAAAACTGAACTCCGTGGATTAATTAGTTACAGATTATTTACATCAAAAAATGAAGATATTCTTATCTCTCAAGGTCAATCCGAGGATTGCACGTCCTCATCAAACAATATTCTTCTGTACAAGCCATCAAACAACACAATTCAGAAACTTATGACACTGCCCAACAACCCAAGGAAACCATCAACTAGTCTCACTACGTCGAAGAAAATAATCCATGATTTGTGACAGAATTGTAAACGAATGCTCAAGACCAAAGAAGAGTCATTCAAGTGACCAAAAAAAAAATCTATTGTGAACTGAAAAAGAATGACATGGCATATTTAAATTAAATAATCTGTCTTTAACAAGCATGTCAACTGTATATATCTATATACACAACTATTTTCGTACTATGTATAATAGTTCAGGTTCATCCAATTATCTCAAACAAAAAATAAAAAATAAAAGCAACCCAGATCATAAAATCACAAAACATTAATAGAAAACTCTCAAAAAAAAAAGTAAAACGAATTTGAAAAGAAACCCACCTGGAATCAACCAACAATCTCAAATGGGCCTGCTCAATTTCCCTAGATTTGAGGCTAGAACCAAAGATCTGCAGCAAAAATAGTCACATAAACCAAAAAGAAGCAAAAACTAAAGCTGACAAAGGAATTAGAAATGGAAAAGAGCAAAATGGAAGTACTATAGATGGCTTCAGCGAGAATGTGTGAGGAAGAGCTGAGGTGTCGTTGGAGGCACGAGTGACACGTGGGCTTTGGGAAGAGTGTGGGCCCACAGAGAGAGAGATTGGCACAAGAATCGCCATTGAAGTGAGAGGAAGTGGTTCTGGTTGTGGTTGAGGTGCTGAGGAAAAAAAGGAGTGGGGGATCTTGGAACAAACATATGGAGTGCAAAGCAAAGCAAAGAAAGGAGATTTTAATTGTAATTATTAAAAGATGGGTGGTTGGATCGATGAGCATCTGGCAATTAGGCTCCAAGAAAGGCGGAGAAAACAATGTCAGAAAATAAAATTGTAAGCAAAAGATGATGTCCCTACTCTCTCTCTCTCTCTCTCTCTCTCTCTCTCTCTCTAGAACTTTCCAGCTTCGAGAGAGATAGAGGGAGAGAGAGGGACCGGGTTGTGATGTGTCTTTCCTCGCTTTAACGGCGCTCTTCTTTTGTTAGCGCCGGCTTGGTTTACAAGAGGGATGGAGAGCAGTAATAATGGAGAGGGTTAAAGACAGGAAGAATATAAAGAACGGAGGGGTTATAATTCTTTCTAGTTGTTTCTACTGCTACTGACTGTACTTTGGATTTAAATTCTATCGTATGCAATAAAAAAATAGATTAATTATAAAAATTCTTTGTGAATTATAACATTTATAATATTAGTCCTTTAATTTTTAAAATATAACATTTATTTTTTTTAACAATAAAATGTTAATTAAAAAGTTTCTCCGAAAATTCTCTAAATTTTAACTAAATTTTAATTAAAATAGTTAGAAAGCTATTTTAGTTAACAACTTTTAGTGAGTCACTCTAACTATAATCTCTATTTTAATTAAACATAGATTATGTTAATACTTATTGAATTCAAAATATAAATAATTTTGTTAAAGTTAGAAAAGAGTTTTTACATTTATTACAATTAAAAGAATAAAATAATATAAAAAATAAATAGATAGCTACTTCATGCTAGCTATATTTAGCCAGTATGTCAAGCATCATCTAAAATAGCTAACCATTTAACTAATAGTTGGAGTAGAAAAAAGCTAAAAAGAAGCTAAATCATTCGCTTTTTTAGCTAAAAATATGAAATAGCTAGCATGGTTAGCTAAATCATTAGACATTTTTTAGCTAAAAACATGAAATAGCTATCATGGTTGGAGTTGGTTTTATATTTTTTAAATTTACATTTAATTAGTTCTTTTAGTGGTATATTTTAGTAGTTTTATGGTTTAAAATTTAATATGAATTTAAAACTAATTTAAATTTGGATTTTTAATTACAAAACATCCATCATTCATTGTGTCATTGAGAGTGAAGATTAATTTTTTAATTATATTACAATTAAAATATTAATTGTACGCTAAATTGTTTAACAACAACTGTTGTTTATGTGATATGTGTCAAAACTATTAAATTTCTTAACGAAAGGGGCATTTTTATTACTATTTCATTGTTTAAGGGAAACGAATGTTTGCGTTTTAAAGATTAGAGAATAAAGTGTTACAATAGATATAATTCAAGATAATTTTTGTAATTAATCCAAAAAATTATATTTATGCCGTATACTTTATATACATATATATATACACTAGTTGAACTTCATATGCTATGCATGTGGGGAGTAATCGTCTCTGATTACCGTATTATTATTTTTTAATTCATTTAATAATAAAGATCAAAGTTAGATAGTTAGTTAATACACAACTAACACAAACATTGTTATGAGTATCATGATTAAAATAACACAGATTACACAAGAAAAAAAAATTAAATAGAGACACATCTGAAAAAATATATTTTATTGAGAACACTAGGTAAAAAAAATAAAAATAAAAAGATTATATTGTAGAGAATCTTTTGGCAAAATAAAAATAAAAAAGCAAAAAAAAAGGCACGGATACGTATGAAAGAAGTTATATTACTAAGAAGCAAAGTAAGAAAAAAACACATTTTAAAATCACCCAACATAATCAAATTAAAGAAATTAAATAAGGCATAGACGGGGGAGATGCACATTAGAATAAAATTTTCCACAATAAACTTTTTTTGAAATTAGACATATTTAAAAACATATACAATTTGAATATTCAAAAGAAACCAAATTGGGAAAAAATGAAGTTTTAGAGAAGGAAGAAAAAGAAAGTTGAAAAAGGCCAACAATGAAAAATAAATAAGTTTTAAGGTAAAAAGTTAAATAAAAAGTGTAAAATAAAGGACATGAAAAGAAGAAGGAAAGTTGAGGACTAAAAGACAAAAAGAAAAACTAAAGGAAAGCAAAATAAATAAATAAATAAATAAAACGACAACAATGACTGCGTAGATGAGGGTACTTTCAACTAAAACGTGAAGTAGGAAGCACTTTTGTGTTTTCTTATACATGCTAGTTAAACTTCACACGTGACGTGGCGTAGTGGGGAGTAATTTATGTGTAATCGTGTCATTACTAAAAGTATATAAAATCACAAAAGGAAAAAAGTGAAAAAATAACAGTTTCAGGCTAGAAGCCAAAAATAAAGTAAAAAGGACGTAAATGAAAAAAAATTATGGCAAAAGGGACAACTGAAAAAACTAAAGTTTCAGGATAAAAATAAAAGAAAATGAGTAAAAAAGACCAAAATGAAGAAATAAATAAATTTTAGGACAAAAGAAACCAAAACGAAAAAAATAAAATTTCAAGACAAAAATAAAAAAGGTAAAAAAAAGGACCAAAATAAAAAAAAAATAATTTTACGGTAAAAGGAACCAAAACGAAAAAAATAAAATTTCTCAAGACAAAAATATAAAGGGATCCAAAAAAGGACTAAAATGAAAAATAAATAGGTTTTAGGGCAAAAAGAACTAAAACATAAAAAATAAAGTTTAGGGCAAAAATAAAAAGAAAGAGTCAAAAAGGGGTCAAAATGAAAAAATAAATAAGTTTTAGGGTAATATAACCAAAATGAAAAATAAATAAAATTTATGGACAAAATTAAAAAAAGGTCAAAAGAAGGATTAATATGAAAAAAAAATAAATTTTAGGTTAAAAAACTAAGAAAATAAAAGAAAGACTTGGAGGCCCCGTTCACTTCACCGATTCGAGTTTAGCTACAGTAAAAAAACTCTCAGAAACAGTCACATCTAACTTTTTTGCTACAGTAAAAAGTTCTCACATAAAATCACATCTCAACTTGAATTAAAAACTCAAATCAGCGAACTAAATGGACCCGAAGAAAATAGAGGGGTGACGTTTTGGTTGAAATGGCAGTGAAGTGTCAGATTTTGACACTTCTATTATATAGATAGATATAGATATATAGATGTACACAGATTTTTATGGTTTTGTTTTATACTGCTTATCTATTAAATATAAACATTTAATAAAGTTACTTATCATAAATTTTTTAATTAATTATTTAATTTATTATAACTGTCATAATAATATTATAAAGTTAAAATAATAAATTTATTTATAAATAAATATTTGGTCATGTTCATTTCACCAATTTGAGTATAGAATTCGAATTTTGTTACAGTAAAAAACTTTCAGAAACAATCATATCTAACTTTTTTGCTACAGTAAAAAGCTCTCACATAAAATCACATTTCAACTTGAATTAAAAACTCGAATCAACGAACTAAACGGCCCGTATACGAACTAATTTCGACCATTCAATTATTTAGAAAAAATATATATATTAATAATATGATATGTTGATATTTTTAAGCAGATAACTTTGCTTTTCAACGGACTAAAATTATTTTTTAATATCTAGTAGCTGACATTTAAATTACGTACTACATCTTAAATTTTTTAGATATAAATTGAGTGTATGAGTACTCTAATTGGTTTTTTTTTTTTTTTTTTTTTGGTATATAGTGGAAGTTATAGACCCAAGTCATCTAACAATATATAAATGAGTTAAAAGGCTCTTGTAATATTATTCTTTATTTTTTTAAGTTATCACGTGGCGCATCTCCTCTTCTTTGTTTTTTATTCTTTTCTTCCGCTTCTTTACTTTTTTTTTTTTCTCTTTATTCTTTTTATCGTTTAAATAAATTCATTTTTATTTTTTTGTTTTGTGAATTTTTAGTTCCATTTTTTCTTGAATTTTTAATAATAAATTTTACTCACTTTATTCTTATAAAAGTAATTTATTTTACTTTTACTTATGTTTCTATTTAATTTTATCAAAAGTTATTTTATGTAATTCTTTATATATATTAAAAGTTATATATATATATATATATTTATATATTATAGTGCTCCAATATAGCACTTTTTCTGACTGCCATGTGGTAGCCCTCCCACCCTCATCTCTCTCCTTTTTTTTTTTTTTCTTTTTTTTACTTTTTTTAATTATTTTTTAAAATGCATTGTTTTTTTTCTTATTTTAAAATTAAAATTTTTTTCACGCGCTATGCGCCTCTTTTAACTACTATAATAAAAAAAGACAGGAAAAAAAAATCCAATGCCAACTCTATTCTACAACAATTCTTCTGAGACGTAAAAATCAACTACACAGCAAATTTAACAAGCCTCTTAAAAAAAATTTCATTAAAAAAAAAAAAACCAATTCGGCAGACTGCTCGAATCAAGAAAATCAAGAGCTTATATTTACCAAAATTTTGTTTAAAAAAAAACCAATTCGTCTGAGCAAAGTGGTGGAAGTATTTTTTTGGGTTTACATGCCAAGTAGAGAAGCCCTTTCTCTTTGGGCCTGGACCAGGTCCGGCCCGAAATTTTTATCTTTAAATTTTTCCTTAGAGAAGAAGAAAGAAGTTAAAAAAATAGAGAATTTATCCTAAAAGTGTATGAGTCTAGATTTTTACATTTAATTCTTGATAAATATTATTTTATTAGTATAATAATTTATTTAAAAAGGTTACGAATCAAGATTAAAAGATAAAAATCATAATCCATATATTTTAAGAGGTAGTTATTAAGATTATCCTGTGAAATTTGATTTTGGGCTAACCATTGATAGAAGTCGGATGGCCTAAACTCCCACATCTAATGCCAACATTTTAGCCTCCAACATTCACATGATATGTATTTGTTACATTTGTTCCATTGAAGACCCTCAGGAAGAGACGCCAATTTATGAGAGCCAATAAGACACAGATAGCGGAGTCTTCTGTTATTCTCCAAAGGTATCATCACTTCTAACTCCTCGCAATTTCCAATCTCCAAGTCTTCAAGTGAGGTGAGATGTTGAATACCTGGACTCAGACCCTTTAATTTCGAGCATCTCCCAATCTCCCAATCTCCAGCTTTTTGAGACAAGTAAGGCTCTTGAACCACTCCAGAAGACATTGTAGATCCTCCCCAATTCCCCAAATAAACAAAAATGTCAATTTAGAGAGAGGAGAGAAAGAAGATGATGTTGTCGTTGAGATTTCAGTTCGAGTAGTGAGAATTGTCACGTGTCACTTATTTAGTGAGAATTGAAAGCGTAATTACACTTATACATTCTTAATGAGATAATTCCCCA